ACCCCCGAAGGGGTGGGGTGTTCAATAAAAGGGGCAGAGCCGTGGATGGAAGGGCGGAGCCTTTAAATAGCAGGAGTTGAAAGGGCTCATGCCATCCCTGCGGCTCTCAGGCATCACGTTAGCTGGATATGGGAGCTGCAAGCCCTTTCAATTCCTGCTACTTAAAGGGTTCGCTTCTCCCAGCCTCGCTGCTAGTGTGTTACCTGGGAGCCAGGGATGCAAGAGCCCTTTCAATTGCTTTCAACTGCTTCTATTTAAAGGGCTCGCGCCTTCCCAAGGGCTGTTCCTGACAGCCACGGGGAAGGCACAAGCCCTTTAAATAGAAGCAGTTGAAAGGCCTCACGAGTCCTTGGCTCCCAGGCAATGAGCTAGCATGGAGCCAGCGCTGCGAGCCCTTTCAATTGCTTCTTTGTATAGGTCTTGTGCCCATTGGGTGGCTGCCAGGCAACCCAGCTGCTTGGGAGGCGTGAGCCCTTTAAATAGAAGCAATTAAAAGGGCTCGCAGCTCCAGCGCTACTAGTGCATTGCCTGAGAGCTGGAGAAGCATGAGTCCTTTTAACTGCTTCTATTTAAAGGGCTTGTACCTTCCCCACACCTGTCAGGTGTGGCCTTGCCTGGCAGCCACATGGAAGGTGCGAGCCCTTTAAATAGAAGTAGTTAAAAGGACTTGCGCATGGTTCCTAAGCAATGAGCTAGCAGCTAGGCAGGAGCTGTGGACCCTTTTAATGGCTTCTATTTAAAGCAATTGACCTGGATAACATGATTGTAGTCTCTTACTTCAACAACCAAAGGAGTACCTGGAGCACAAGGCTAGCTTAAGAAGTAACCGTGCCAAAGAACTGGGTAAAACGGGACCTTCTGCCAATTACGGTCAGTCACTTTACAGCTAAACTACCCAAGCAAATGTTATACGGGAATAGGAGCTGACGCTATAAATTTTTCTGTTGGAGTGAAAATTATGGGTCACTTCATATGAAGTCCCACGTTATGTGTAAGTTGTACTTTCAGAGTTGAATCCATTTAATTTGGAGTACCCGCTAAGAAAGCTGTTGCCTGGGGTTAGAATGGGGATTGCAAGATCGGAGAGTTAAGTATAAATCCTTTGGATTCAGAGTGGCTTTTACCTAGTCGGTGAGATAGAGCAACCCTTTCTAGCTGGTGATTCCCCATATAGAAACTAAATGGAGAGACCCAACATTTCCTTTTCACTCTTTAACTGTTCTTTCATTTTTTATATTATACTCTCTCCACATGCCGTGCTATCGAAGCTGAGATCAACAGAGGCACTTGCACAGAAGCCTAGTTGGTGTAAACAAGGCTGATAAAAGGATGTTCTCTTGAGGGCCTTGCTGTTTTGAAATTTACTCCTTGCCACACTCTGGCCCAAAAAGAGTCTGACTCTGATAACCTTCACGGCAAGCTGCAAAGCTCGTATTTCCGCCTGCTCCAGGCACCTGACAGTGGAGCAGAGTACTAATGGGGTGAACTGATGGAGAAGTGTGGTTTTAGCTTTGTATTTGTGTGTTGCTGGTTATGGGCCATACCCATATTGAATGGCACTACTGCATTTGACTTAGGTGCTATTTTTCCAGGGCACTTTTAGGTTGTGTCACGGGTGTTTTGTGTATCAATAGGCAGTCTTCTGCACAGGTTGGGCGCATATCTAAATAAACTTTTATTCTGTAATACTTCCATTTTTTCTTTTTAACAAATATCTGTAGCTGGCATACTCCACTGTTGATTAGTTTTTTATTTACTGGTTGGTGATGTATATACCTATGCATACTTTAAATTTCTCCAATAGGTCTATTAGATTTCATTTCTGTTTATTGATGCATTCTCCTAACTTAACGTACCATGTTTTGTGCCTGTTTAGTTAACATTTTTCTTAGTACTAGCATGCTCTTTACACAAATGTTTTTGATCTCAGTCCATTATCACAGCACCTCTGTACTTGTGCTCGACTGCTGCACATGCTGCCATTACAAGATCTGGAGAAATTCTTCCTACACGTGATATCAGAGCTGTACAGTCAGCACTTTGATATCCCATTTCTAATATACCCATCAGTTCTGCATAGCTCATCGAATAGTCTCCTGTTGTTTTTTACTGCTGGTACCCATCATTCTTTGAGTGCTTGCTCATGTCCATTGCATGGTATGTGTATGCATACTGTGTGCACCGTTGCGAGAGATTTTCCCTAATGGGGCAGTGATGGGGTCAATAGACACCTACTAGCAAACTCCTTCTCCTGCTCCCACCTCAAAGAGGGCAGAGAAAGTATTATATACCAACAAAACGATATGAATACCTGTACTTGCATTCCCCCCTTGGGAGTGACTGGTGATGTCTGCAGTGAATGAAAGAGTCTGGCACAGCTGGCCAAGTGCTACTCTCAGTCAAAAAGGTCCTACAAATCAAGGTGGTTTTGGAAGAAAGATTTATTGCACAAGTAGCCATCAACTGTACATTGTTAATCAGCAAGCTTTGCTGGGGAGACATCTTAATTAATGGGACTCCCTGAATAAATTCAAAGACTCTCTGACCAAAGAGTCAAGACAGGAGTTTATGGCCCTCCTAGAAGAAAGTAAGAACACAGGTAGGATCTCTTTCCAGCTGGCTTTGGACTAGGGACGTTAAAATGTAAACGTAAAATGTAAAGCTTTCCACTCCTCAGTGAATGGAAGATCAGTGTTCTCCCTCTAATGATGGCCTGATTTCTCAAGGGGTTGGAAAGCCTCTCGCCTCAGGTTCTCAAACCAACACCCTCCCTCCACCATGGAACTTCAACTTGGTCTGTTTGAGGCTTATGGGCCCTCCCCTTTAAATTGTTAGCATCGTGCCTCTCTCCTGGAAGGCAGCCTTCTTGGTGGTGGTCACCTTGGCCAGAAGGGTATCTCAGATCAAGGTGCTTATGTCAGAACCACCTTACATAGTGTTCTTCAAGGACGGGGTTCAAATTCACCCCCCATCTGGTCTTCCTGACAATGATTGGTGTCACATTTCCCTAACAACCAGGTCATTTTTCTCTGCCATCTACCAAAAACCTCACAAAAGCTCCGAGGAACAACTTCATACATTAGGCGAGCTCTTGCCTCTTATACAGAAGGGATAATCTGCAAATTCATGCAGCTCTTTGTATCAGTAATGGAGAGGATGAAAGGGATTCTTGTGTAAACTCAAATCTCATCCTGGCTGACTGCCTCTCTTTGGGCTTGCTATGAGCAGGTGAGTGTCCCTCCTCCAGCAATTATGACCATTCATTCCACAAGAGTCCAGGCTTCATTCTTGCACAGGTACCATTCCAGGACACGTGCAGAGCTGCAACCTGATTACTGATTCATATCTTCATGTCCCACCACACCGTCACCCAACAGGCCCAAGACAGTGCCAGTTTTGGGAGCGTGGTATTTTAATCAGCGTGTCCATGAACCCCAAACCTATCTCCTGAGGTGTAGTGCTGGTGAGTTACCTAGCATGGAATGGACATGAGCAGCCACTCGAAGAAGAAAAAAGCTGTTACTAACCTTTAGTAATTGTCATTTTTTGAGATGTTGCACCTGTAATTCCATGGCCCACCCTTTTACCTGTCTGTCAGGCTATGTCTAGACTGCAAGCCTCTTTCGAAAGAGAGCGTCTAGACTGCACATTGAACTTTCGAAAAAGCGGCTTGCTTTTTCGAAAGAAAGCATCCAGTGAGTCTGGATGCTCTCTTTCGAAGAAGCCCTATTTACATTGAAGAACGCCTTCTTTCGAAAGAGGAACTTTCGAAAGAAGGCGTTCTTCCTCGTGAAATGAGGTTTACCGCCATCGAAAGAAAAGCCGCATTCTTTCGATTTAATTTCGAAAGAACGCGGCTTGAGTCTGGACGCAGGGGAAGTTTTTTCGGAAAAAGGCTACTTTTCCCGAAAAAACCCCTGAGTCTGGACACAGCCTCAGAGTTACTGGCCTGAACAAAAAAAAAATGGGTATGAGGTCAGTAATGCCCCTTACACTGGCGCTTATGCACTTGGCTGCAGAGTGTTCTAGAACTGGCCCAATGGATATCACTAAGGGAAAAATCTCTGGCAGCAGTGCATGCGGCATACACACACTTTCCATGGCATGGACATGAACAGCACATCTCAAAAAACAACAGTTACAAAAGGTAAGTAACTGCTTTTTAAACCCTTATTACTCTTTGAGGAGATAGAATATACCTATCATTCTGCTTCCTAATACCAAAAAAAAAAAAAAAAAAAAAAAGTCCCTGGCTAAGGCACTTAGAAGTTACTTATGGAGTACAACAGCAACTTAATCAAATAAAAGGAATACTAGTGTAAAACCGTTGTGAACTAGAATAGGGTTAGGAATAAACAATCTGCTTGTGAACCTCTTAGTTTTGCCTAGCTGAATCAGTCCTGGGCAGGTGCTCTGTAGTTTCCCAGTGCCCTTATAAAACAGATCTGTAGAGTTTCTCCTATTGTTCAGGCTGTACGTGCCAATTATTGGGAAACTGGAGTTGTTTCACAGGTTATCGCTGTAAATCCTAAACTGTAACATCACAGCTACAAATTCACTACATTTATTTTTTTCTTCTGAGCGTGTGATGTTTTTCTTAGTATTGGACATTTTAGTAGCTCATTTATCATATTTTTGAATATATATGCATGTTCTGTTGTTTACAAACCAGACTTATCACGCTGCATATAAACATCAGGTTCACATCTGAGCTTCTGCAAAGTTCAGGGGAGTTCATCGAGGGTGTGTGTTCAGTCTGTCTCTCTTCAGCCTTCCTTCCTTAACGTAATGTAGCATGTGTATAACTGTAACTAGAAAACAAAGGAACCAAAATTGAACATAATGAGACATTTAAAATCCATTAAAAGGTCTGAACTGGAAATTATATGTGAGCTTTGAAAGCTATTCTTAAAAACAGAATTGAGATGCAGTTCAGTTGTTGCTCCACACGGTGTCACAGTTGGTCTTTTTGTCTACTCAATATTTCTTTCTGCTTGTAGATGAAGGCATTTACAAAGCTGGTGGAAAACGATGTGAAATGTGGGGGGCAGTGGAAATCCAAGAAGATGAAGACACTCGGATAGAAGTTCCAGTGGATCAGGTAATCTTTACATTTTGAACAAATGACTAATTTAGAAAACAAATCTTGCATTATTGATTTTGTTGCTTCCTTTGATTCCTGTTGAATTTTTTTACAGGGTTCATTTGTAATGTTCACTGGCAGCATTGCACACAATGCCCGCACACTGCCCTTAGCTACTCATTCCCTGCACTCTGAGCTACCCCCCCATCACACACAGCCCCTAGCTGCTCCTCTTTCTACCCCCTGAGCTACTGTCTCCTGGCACCCTGAGCTGTTTTCAAGTGTTTTAAGATGAGCCCTACCACCTATGAGTTACAAGTATTGGTTAAGCCTCCTCCCTGCCAAAACCAAGACAGGCTGGGTGGCCTGTTAGGGTGAATCAAGGTGGAGTTCAAATTGTCTCCTTGAGCCTGCCATATGGAGTTGGCTTGAATCCTGTTGGCCCCTGCCCCCCAACTACACTGCAACTATACCCAAACCCGTCTAGCCCCAGCCTAGACTCCCATGACTCCCCATTCCCCCACTAGGACCTTGAGTTTTTATAGCGTATTTGGGGAGGGGCTACTGCATAGTTCTGACTGATTGCCATTGAGCTTGCTTGAATTCAAGCAGTTTTACCAGGTGTCCTGTATTCAGCATAGGGCAATACAGTCTCTCTAGTTGCAACTATTATTGTTGAGAGAGAAGCAGCCTTTGTGAGGGTTATGCTTTTGTGGATTTAATTACTGTTAGGATAGAACAATACCTCTTGCCCCATCAAGTTCATCTGTGTTTCTTGTGGCAGCCTGAATTATCCTGTCTTAGTCTTGGATGTCTAATAGTAAATTAGTGAGATCATCAGTCCATTTACTGACCTCCATAGAGGCTTTCTATGGGCATTTTCTGGAGCATTTGACAGCAATACATTCAGTCATCAGGAGCTGTCTGGTTCTAATGTTCATCTTTCATATTGCTTGTGAAAGATGCCAACTTGACAGCACTGAAGACTGAAGTCTTACTTAACCCCTATAGTGGTACAGTACAAGCAACAGCTAGGTAAACTTACGTATACTGCCCTACCCACGTGCCTCAGCACAACCTGATGGGGACCTTCTTTAGGGAGGAGAGAATAGTTTGTGTGATTTGCCAATTTAGCACTTGGCCTCTTTGCTGAGGTTGCCAACTAGTGCTGATGGCTTTTTAACTCAAAAAACGAAACAAAACAAAACAACAACAACAACAAAAACAAAAACCACTAAGTTTGTTTTGCAAAGGTTGCTGTACATCCATCAGATAATGCCACCATGTTCTCCAGCCACCCGAACTGAAGTGGTTAGGATGCTGTTTACTTGAGTCGTCTTCTCTGTTTTATCATATATAGCATACAGTTGAACAGATGCCAGATTAGCCATTGACTAAACATAGTGCGATGTGTAGACTAGATGCATGCTTTTATACTTCACTGCAAAATCTTGTATTCCAGCTGAGTGCATTAAAATGGCTGCCTTTACTTTACTCTCAGCTAAATGCTAGTGGGTATTGAAAATCAAATGAGAAAAAACAGTTTTTCCCTTAAACTACATATTTCGTCTGTTTTACTCTAATAAACCAAGACTGTAGACTCCAAATGCAAAATACATGATGCCTTTGTGTAGAATACAGGGTTTCTCTAAGCTTCACACTTCACTGTTTGCATCATTGTGCCAGCATCGGTAGGAGTGGGGGCAATGCCATGAAATCAACTGGACAAGGGGGTGGGAGAAACAGTTTATTTAGTAAGATGTTTTCACTACTCAGTGCTGGGAACCAATATAATAGGGGCTTTGTCAGGTAAACTTGAAATACTAACCTAATATGTGAACATGAGGTGCTCTTTTAAATGTGGCTATTAGTATTAATTAACTTTTTCTGACAAGAGTTTGGATAAGGTGTCTTCACATTATAGTGCTGCTATTGTTTAATATATGTAAAGCACACTAATACAATGTTTTGTTAAAAAACAATAAAAGGAAAACACCTTTAATCCCCCCCCCCCATAAGCAGAAAGAATCTGGCTCTTTTTTGTCTGCCTCCCACACTGGACTCCCTAAGGAGGTAAAATGGCAGGACTTAAGCCATATATCAAATTAACTGTTCTCATATCCCAAGATAGGAACCAGGAGATTTCCAATTACCCTTCTTGTTCTCCTAAATTAGGCAGTGTCCCCAACAGGTGGCTCCAGCCCTAGTTTTTAATCAGGAAATTTAAGTAGGAGCTGGAGCCAGATCCTTAAAGGTATCAAGGTGCCAAACTCCTACTGAAATCAGTGGGTTTGAGATGCCTAAATACCTGTGAGGAAATGGATCAGGACTGCCTTCACTTTAAAAATCATTAAAATAAATCTGATTGGGAGGTTTCAGATTTTTGGTAGCTCCAGAGTGTAAAATGTTATCGTGGTGACATAGAATCTGGCATAATTTAAATATAAATAATGTGCAATATATCCAAAAGATTTCCGTGTTGTGTGCGCACTTTATTCTCCTATCTCTTTTCCTTTGAAATCTTTATAATGATGTGCAGGAAGATAGTCTAGTTTGTCCTGACCTGTGTGACAATGTCAGATGCTCCCAGAGCTGCAGTCTTTGCCACCCAACTATCCAGCTTTGTAAATATAGATGTGGCTTTTCATTAATGCTATCTCAGTGCCCCTAATGACTTTACATTTCCTGGAGATGTGATAGGAGCTAAAAGTCTATAACTCACTGAAGTATTATTTGTGTAGTAAGAGTATGTCATAAGTAACAGAAGCATTGCAACTTCTATTCACTGTTTTATTTCTAAAGTAGAAGTTTTGTGAAGGAGACCTGAATTTCACCCCAGTGAACAAGTCTCTCTACCTGTTGCCAAAGGCAAAACCAGTTATTTTTGTGTTGGCAGCTCTGAGACATCCCTTGATTATAAAGGCCAGACCTTTTCATGAGGAAAAATTGTACTTTACACCAGTTTCTCTCTATTCTCTAAGGGTATGTCTACACAGTGGGGCTATTTCGAGATACTAGAAGTATCCTGAAATAGCTACTCCGCATCTTTTGAATGCGCTCGCTATTTCAAGATAGGGTGTCCGCTATTTTGAGATCTATTTTGGCATCCCTGTAACTCTCGTTCCATGAATGTTAAGGGATGTATCGAAATAGCTTGTCATTTTGATATTTGGCTCTGTGTAGATTTGCCACATTTTGAAATACGCTATTTCAAAATTCAATCAAAATAAGATACGCAATTTGCGTAACACAAATTGCATATCTTATTTTGAGTTTAGAGTGCTGTGTAGATGCACCCTAAAATCAGCAAGCTTCTCAAAATGGTACTTACTCATAAACTTTCTAGGAGGTCATGCAGAGGAACGAGCAATGATGTGTTAAAATAAAAACTTTTACTTAGATCTTCTGTTTACTGATTACTGGACAGGTCAGCATGTAATAAAGAATCTTTGTTCTCTTGTTGTTTTTGTTTTTTTCGGATCCATTGACTTATACCCTCAGGACTGGGGTGTGTGTGCATGTGCTTGTGCGTGCGCGTGCACGTGTGTGCGTGAGAGAGTGAGCGAGAAAGCAAGCAAGTGTATAATTGTCCTTTGGTTGATTGCTGCTGAGAAAGAGAACAGATTTTCCTTTGGCTCAGGAAATTGTGGGATAAGGATTTGAGTCCTGGATTTATGGATATATGTGATTTTATGTGTATATGAGAGGTGGTATAAAATCAACTCTGATTTCCCCTTTGTAATATACCCCACCCAGAAAAATCCTCAGACTTTCAAATCTGTAGATTTAATTCTCATTGCCTGTTGAATTCTTCTTGAAAACTGTATAAGTAAAGTTAAACACAAATTTGTTGAGACTTCAAAGTAGCTCCTTTTGAAACATTTGCCAGCTGTCTAACATTTCATTTTCCTATGTCTGCCCAATAAATCACATTGATCCATAAAACTGGAAATTTAGATGTTTTAACACTGACTCAGACTGTCACTATTTAAAAATAGACATGATTCCCTGCTAGTGAAACAGATGAAGGAAAAAATATCCTTGACCCTCTGAGCTAGCGTGGCTACTTCTCAAATGTGAAAAAACACCAGGATGTTTTAAAATGGTTCTTCTATTCCTTACCAAAATGGCTTATTGGCCTAAGGAGATTGTGCAGAGATCCTTTTTCCATGTAACTGAGGAAGAGAGTTTGAAAGCCTTATATTTTGCAGTGGTACTGAGCACCACTGCTCCTACTAACTGCATTTGGACTTGTGGGTGTTGAGCATTTATGAAAATCCAGGACTATATGCTTAAATACTGAAATTGGCATAACGAAATAAGATCTAAAACACACCCAAATGGCTCAGTTTCAAGTTACTGGCTTCATGATGGTAAACACATTTTTTTATACTCAGTAATAACAGCATACTTATTATGTGGGAAGTGTAAGACTTAGTCCTTAATGCTCATTTCCTTGCTTTTAAGTGCTTGGGTTTTGTAAGTGATGTTGTCACTTAGCAACCCTAACTGGATTTGGAACAAAGTGTTTTTGCTTTTGGAATATATGCTACATATCTACAAAGCACTATTCACTGAGTAATAGTTATATTTTAAAGGTGGTGGTTGTCTCAAAGCTACGTGGGCCTAATGTTGTATTCATGAGATGTGTATACCATATTATTTGTGACCATTTAGATTTTGTTGCCTACTTCATTGTCTGAGTAAACATTTGGAAATGGTTTTAGTAATGCAAAATTATGATTGACATTAAAATGGCTTCTACTTGGGGAAAAATAATTTTAAAATACCATATAAATATTTACCCTGAAAAGAATTTTTGTGATATTGGACTCTATAATATGTTAATAGCAGCTATGGGACTAACCAACTGATTGGAAGTAAATGCCTCATTGTAGAAAGTCTTTGTGATTTATTGCTTTTTGGAATTTTGATGGCACTTGGTAACCATAGCACTTAATGAATGGTGCCCTGATGAATGCAATTGAATACCACCTCCGTTTTTAAGTCCTTTGTGAACATTTCAAAATACTACTGAGTAATCATACTACTTGAATGTGAACTTAAATTTACTCCTGCTCTACATTAAGCTTCTGTTAGAACACCATCGGCCTGATTTGTAAACCAGGGGCCAGATCTTCTGCCAGTGCAAACTGATATAGCACCGTTAACTTCTGTGGCTCTCTATACAAGATAAGTATCTTGCATCAAGCCTCTACTTTTTAATGTAGGCAATATTTGCATTGACAATTCTCTAAGCGCATAGAATTGTGCCCACAAAAATCAAGACCTAGTCTGAAAATTGAGCTTTGTAATTCTCTATGTATAGTAATATTAGTGAATTTTGAAAATATTTTTTTTTACAAGATAAGCCCATTTAATTCTAACATTTCTGTACTATTTGTGGTACATCTTTTCTTTGTCTTGCTATCATGCAAAAGGAAAACTCCTTACTGTGAGTTGCTATGACTGGGAGGCAAAAGAACGGTCAGTTATACACACTGTAAAAAGACAGAGTCCTATACCTATCCCTTTCCCATCAGTTCTTTCAACATAAT